CTTGCCTAATGTTGTGTGTGGCAGCTGCTATACAAAATTAAATAAACAAAAACTGACTAAAATTGTGGACTACAAAAAATTTAAGGTCAGAATACAACGAAAGGAGAATTTATGTAGCTGCAAAATATGTGAAGTTGCCAGGTTTAGACCTAATCCCAGAACTAAAGTAAACAATACGCGATCACCACTGTGTCCAATAACAAAATCTGTTGGTAGACCTAGGTCTGAGCAAAAATTAAAAACATTTATAAAAATTGCTGATAGCTGGCTAAGAAGTTCTGGGATACAATTAGACCATTGCAGCAGATTTAATGGAAATAATGCCAGAAACTTGCTTAAAAAAGTTGACGTTCTAAAAGCACTAGATCCTGCTATGACTGTACCTAAAATTAACTTACTTTGTAACAAAACCTTATTTTATTATTGTTAGACACTAGGCCCTTTGCTTATTTTTTTAGACAACAAATACATAGAGGTATTTTGTGCCTTCAATGATGTGGTAGCCAGCTGTTTTGGAAAATATATTGATACCAATAACGAAGCCTCTATACTGAAATTTTCCGACAAAATAAGAGACGGAAATCAGTTTTACTCCAAAAATTCACGCTGTTGTTCACCATATAGTGGATTTTGTTAGTATTTCACAGAAAGCATTGGGCTTTTACTCTGAGTAAGCCTCAGAGCAGAGGCATCATTCTTTTAAGTTGTTCTCAAAAAACTTTAATTTAAATCCGAAACAAAAAAAAACTATCAAAAAAATCTCCTTAAGAGTGTTGCTTCCTACTACAGTAACCATGTTTAAAATTTATTTATTTACTTATAGCTAGTACCTAATTGTTTTCTTCCGTTTTAGTCTAAATTCAGTTTGTGTTTCATTGTTAGTTTGTAGTTTTACTTGTTTACTAATACTTATGATCATAAAGTAAAATTTTATCACTAAAATATTAGAAAAAAAATATTTTTTTTTTGCTTTTTGCATTAGATTAAAGTATATTTTTATTTAAATTTGTGCAGAGACCCAACCTCCTGGATTTAGAAACAGGGAGGGGGCAACAGTAAGCATACCTTTTGCTGATGATGGTCGTTATTTATTATTAACAAAACTTTTTACGCGCTTTTTACTATGGTTGAAAAAGTTTTTTTTTAATTTGTGTAGAGACCCCAATTGGTACGTCGTCGATTTTAATTTTTATATTTTTTTGAAGCCAGTGGTATCGGCATTTAAAAAATAAAGTACTCAAAGTTTATATATTTTTTTTCTTGACATCTTGGCCCAGACTAACTGTGTATGAATTTTATATAATTTTTGATTCAGTGTGCTGAGGCTGTAAGAAACCGGCTGTTTTAACAAAATATCTTTATCCCTAAAGAAAATCCTAAAATTATACTTTCCTTAATTAATTAGAAAATTTATTGATATCAGACGCCCTGACGCCAGGGTTGGGCGCAGATATTTTGGCCAATGTCTTTTGATTTAGTTACGTAATCAAGGGCGCAATTTTTAAATTCGTTGTTGCCATGGACATATCCGGGCTGACTACCTGGAATTCCCCGCTGTAAAAATGTTAAATTGTCACATTTATTTATTTATTTCCTGATATTGTCATTCGTTTTGACACTTTAGTTTTGTATTACGAGTTTTTGGTTTAAATTAATTGTTTTGTGATGGTTTAAGCTTAAACATTTTTACTAGCAGACCTTGCAGTCGAACATTGTTCTTTTTAGAACTTCTTTTAGTGCGAAGTGTGCAAGATAGCTTAATAGCAGTAAAAACTCATCGCAAATTTATTAGAATAATTTGAACGGGAAAGTGGTAGTAATGGCCCTTTATGTTCCTTAAGTGCTGTTAAAAAGGTGAGTTTTGTTGATGTAAATAATAACTGTTATGTATATTTATAATTAATTTATTTTTTTTCCTAAAATACATGTAAAAAATATTTTTTTAATTTATTATATTTTCAACATTTCCAACTACACTTTTTCAAACATGTCCTTCTTTACGGTCAAGACACTTCTTAGAGTAGTTACAGACATAAAAAAAATTTAATGTTATATCTTATAAAAAAATTAAAGACGTTGCATGCAGTAAACGTAACAAATTTATAAATCGATTGCTAACAAATACCCATCCCTGATCCTAAATAACACCGAACCCTCTCTAAATAATTTCCCTCATTTACTTGAAACTTTCTAAGCTGAGAGAGGGGGAAAAGTTATGAGAGCCATTACACTGCTCTCAAACAAACTTATTTATACTTTTCATTCCGCCATTTTTTTCCATTAAGTAAAAAGTATACCGATCTGATACAGTAGACTTATCACTTTAAAAAATTAGACGGAAAAAGTGATAAAATTTAGTGCCAGAAAACATTAATAAAATAATTAGTGAAAAAATAAGATTATACAAAATACAAGGTGTCCCAATTTTCCGTAGACATAGAATTAGTACGTATTTTTGGAATTAAAATAAGTCCATTCAATACAATTTACCTCTATACAAATGCTTCGTTTGTCCGCTAGAGGGTATTAAACTTCAAAAAAATAACATATTTTTTCATATATTTTAAAAACCCCTATTTCGATTTGCATGAGATTTTGTGTGTCTATGTTTTTAAATAAATAAATAAATAAATGCCTTTATTGTCAAAATTTTTTTCAATTTGTGGACAAAGGTAAACTAACAAACAAAGTAAAAAAAAAACAAGGTACACAAACAAACAAACAAAAGATAATACAAAACATTATACAAATAATATTGTCAGTCTTATTGTTAAAATAAACATATATAAATGTTTACAATGTCAAAGAACAAAAAAATAAAAATAATATTCAAAAATATTTAGCTAGTTTATAGTAAAATATCAATGACCTCTAAATAAATTAATTTCGATGTCATTAGTAAATATAGCAATAGCAAACATTAGACCAGTGTTTTCAAGATCAAATTCGATTTTCAATTCAAATATAATTCATTTACGGCGTAGAAAGCCTTGTCTAGTAAATAAGAGTTCAATGCTTTGCGAAATGAAAAAATGATGTTATGGATTTGATTTCAAATGGCAGGTGATTGTGCATTTTTTCGAGTTGTATAATATTGAACTTTTAACTAACTCTGAGCGTGGGGTAGGTAGATAAAGATCTTGCTCCGCGTTCCTGAGTGGATAAGTGTGAGATGGCCTTTCTTGAGAAGCTGATACATGTTTACGTATTAGGCAAACGGATTCAAATATAAATAAGGAAGGAGGAGTCAATATTCTTAATTCCTTAAAAAAGTCCCGGCAATGAGTTCTGCTATTTAGTCCCAGTGAATATCGAACAGCTCTCTTCTGAGCTTGAAAATGTGGTCAAATTGAGTCGCACAACACGTACCCCAGAATGGAAGGGCATACCTGAGGTGCGACTCAAAAGTGCATAATAAACAGTTCTAGCCACTGACAAGTTAAGCTCCTTAGAAACAGACCTTAATGCAAAACAGGCAGAGCTCAATTTTTTCGACAAAGCTTCGATATGTATGTCCCATTTCAGAGAATTGTCCACAACAAGCCCTAAAAATTTTACAGATTTTACGACGTCAATGGTGGTGTTGTTAAGTACAAAAGGCTGCAACGAGTTTTTATACGACAAAGCCTTAGTTTTAGAAATGTTGAGACTCAGGAGGTTCGAATCGCACCAAGATTTAATGGTGATTAAGTCATTTGATATAATCCTATGAAGTGCCGCGATGTCCTTGTTGCTCCAAGTGAAGCTAGTGTCGTCCGCAAAAAGACATATTTTGCCACTGATGTTTATGTTAGCAATGCCGTTAATAAAAAGAAGAAACAAAATAGGGCCTAGTACTGAGCCTTGTGGTACTCCACATTCTATTGGCTTGCTAGAAGACAACGTGGTATCCACCCTCACAAGTTGACTTCTGTTGCTCAGATACGACTTAAACCATTCGAGAGATGATCCCCTGAACCCATAGTGCTGCAGTTTATTAATTAGGATCTTATGATTTACACAATCGAACGCCTTAGAAAAATCACAGAAAATTGTTGCTGTAGAATGATGGTTGTTTAGGCTGGAGTAAACTTTATTAAGGAGGGAAAACATAGCGTCATTTGTGGACTTGTTGCTTAGAAATCCAAATTGATATTCAGTAAGTATTTTGTACTTAAACAGAAAAGATACCAGCCTGCTTTTAACCAACCTTTCTATGATCTTAGATAGCGTTGGAAGGAGTGCAATTGGGCGATAGTTAGAAGCTTCATCTTTGTCTCCTCCTTTGTGCAGTGGAATGATTATTGCCGTCTTAAGACATTTTGGGAAAATACCATTTTGGAACGACATGTTTATTAAAGTTGTTAGGTGATTCAGAGTGCTTTCTGGCAGATTCGAAAACATTTTTAAAGTTAGCCCGTCGGTCCCAGAAGAGGATTTATTTTTGATGGTATTAATTGTACTGCGAAGCTCTTCAAGAACTACGGGCGAAAAAAAGAAACTGTGTAAGTTTACATTATCATTAGAGAGATAAGAAAGTGGATCATGAGGAGGACATATGGTATTAGTTAAGTGCTAAGTGCTTTAATATTTGACTTTATCAAAAATCAAGAAACAGTACGGGGAGGGTGAAAACTACTCCTACCCCTACATACATTTTACTATAAATATTTTTCAACTCAACCGACGACAGATTTTCTTTTCGTAAAATGGTCCCTCTACTATTTTCTATATTTTTTGTCTTTTGTAAAAAATCGCTACTTCGCATGGTTTTTGTGAAAAAAAATTTGGGGACTTACACTACCCTCAATAAAGACCTCAGTAGATTGAAGCTAAGAAACAACGGGGAATGCAGATTCTGTGGAGAAAATGGGGAAACACCAGAACACCTTATCAATTATTGAGACTGGCTTTTGTCAAAGCCCTAAAACTGTATGATAAGTTTGTAACTCAAGAAAGGAGGACATAATAGATCTGTAAGAAAAATGATTAAAAGTAAAATACGTTTTTTAGTCATTCACCTGACATTCTATACATCGACAATCGTCAGTCTGCGCACAGCTCAGTCCCAATATGGCGGCCGCTTCCTCGTATAAGTCTATACTACTCCTCCTGCTGTCCGAACTCGTCGATGTCATCGTCGTTGACGTTGACGGATGGCCCGGCGATGACGTGACGGGCGCAGCCGATGACGTAATCGCGGCCTTATCGTCAGATTTATTGCTGTTGTCGTTGCCCAGACTGGTTGATTGTCGGTTGGCGTTCTGAATCGTCGTGAAAAACTGAAAAGGAATAATGAAACACTTACGATTATCGTTTTCTATGATTTTCATTAAAAAATGATTTATCTAGTATATATCTAGTATCTGATCTATCAGTAAATTAATATTATCCAAGGAAATAAAAGAATATATACAGGGTGGTCCGAACAGTATTCCGGAAACTTCGGCATCATACGAGTATACTACAGACAAAAATAAGTAAAAAAGTTCGTATAAATGTATGTCCTAAAATGCTTAGTTTCGGAGATATTTGGATGAAGATTTGTGTCTGGAAGTTTTTTGGCAAGAGACATTTTATTTTGATGTTAATATGACTCCTACTTGTAGAGGGCGCCACCTAAATATATTTTAACTAGTTTGAAGATTAGTACATTTTCGTTCATACCTGTATAAAAATAATAATTAAAAAAAATACATTTACGACGTTTTTCACGTAGATAAGGTCTCTTGGTAAAAATCGCTACGAGTAATGGTTCTCGAGATATTTGAAATCGAAATTATCAATACCTGTCATCATTGACATAAATTAAACATATTGACTCATGTTGACTCACATGTTGAAATCATAAGTTTGTTGTTGTGCGAAAGATTCAACAGAAACTGTTTTATCATCATTTTTTCGAAGAAAAATTTATGATTAATTTAAAATAATAAAAAGTTCCCAAATATATCGTTTCATATATCGTTTCAACTATCTACTCAACATGTTTATTTTTGTGTCAATAATGACATGTATTGACTATTTCCATTCTAAATATCTTGAGAACGGTTGTTCGTAGCGATTTTTACCAAGAGATATTTTGTGCATAAAAAACGTCTTAAATGTATATTTTTTCACTCAGTAGTACTAAGTAAGTGGCTGTTGAGTGGAAATCATTTCTGCGTCGGCTGGAAGGAAATAAGGAAATTAAGAAATAAAACAATTTTTTGTTGTATATCAAAATAAGCATTTTCATGCAAGGAAGACGTGTATCAAATATACCATCAGAGATATTTGAAAAAAATTAGAAAATTTTACTACCCTGTATCTGAAAATTTAAGATGTTTAGTATAACTCATATGAAGTTTTTTTTCTTAGAATAAGTCCAAGAATCACCTCCTTAAATATTAGCATGTCATTAAGGAATACCCTGTATAACGTTTTCCTATTTTACTATATTTCTATATTTTCTATTTTCTATTAGTCTAAGAGCTAGCAACGTTTTCGAGAAAGTATTTTAAGAAAGCTGGCTCTCTGGAAGAGCATGCGGCCCGCCTCGCCGTTGCGTTCACTACTGCGCATCGGAAGAAGATCCTATATATATATATATATATATATATATATATATATATATATATATATATATATATATATATATATATATATATATATATATATATATATATATATATAAAGATTCTTACCACTTAACTGCTAATATAGAAATTTAATTCTACGCTGTGTTTGTCATAATGCGGATCAACCTGCTCTCACTACCGGTTTCGAAGCCCTACTCCATCATCAGGTGAGCTTGGGAGATCCACAAAATGACAACCACAGCGCAGAGATAGTTAATTCCGACTTGTCGGAAAGTATCGGTTAGATATTAAGTCCCGAACGGGAGATAGCGGCCTGCGTGCAATGGTAGTACTTTCGTACCACCGAGGCGCAACTATCGATAGTAAAAGGATGGTAAAAGGCTTTTTTTCAGGCAAGCCAAATTATAAAATAGAAACAAATTTCTTGCAGTAGAGGTATATAATAAAATTATATAAAGATTCTTGCCACTTAACTGCTAATATAGAAATTTAATTCTACGCTGTGTTTGTCATAATGCTATATATATATATATATTTTTTTTTTTTATTTAGTCCTATAAATTCTAGTATTGAACATGTCTCCATAGCGCAGTGCGTAGAATTTCCGACTACGAACCGAGGATTCAGAGTTCGAATCCGGGTCAGGGCAGAGACTTTTTTATTTTCGTTTATATCCTGATAGTAAAGTATTAAATAATTCTGGTGATTAAAAAAAACACATATTCAATACTTTACTATCAGAATATAAACGAAAATAAAATAAAAAAGTCTTTGTCCTGACCCGGATTCGAACTCTGAATCCTCGGTTCGTGGTCGGAAACTCTACGCACGCGCTATGGAGTATGTTCGATTTATATTCAATTAGTAGTGGGAACTATCGAATGAATACTATCGAAACATTCGATAGTTGCAATTCATTCGAATAATTCGATAGCTAGTAAAAAAACATTCGTTGAAAACTATTCGAATATAAATTATCGAATAGATGCGTCATCTGCCTTGAAATATTGTATTCTAGTAATTCGGCAGCAAAAACCATTCATTTATAAAATTCATTCATTTATGAAATTCATTTATTCGTCAGGATCGATTATAATAAAATATTAACTGGATTTTAGTTGTCGCCCGGCGACGTAGGTTTCTTTCCGAGAAACCCGACAGCGGTCGGTGGCAATGCTATGAAAGAAGCCGGCATCTTTGATTTTTTGCGGAGTCAGATATAGATAAGGACACATTATTTTTTTTTATTGAGGTGCTAGTATTTACACAGAAAATACATTATGAAGGGCGCTGTTGCCATATTTTGGTATTAGTTGATATTAGCAAAGAATATTATTGTTTGGCTTTAGTTAGTTAGGGATAGTATGTCTATATATTTTGCATTTTTTTATTAATATTCGGTTGTTACACTGCAATAATACTTGTTATTTTGGATGTAGGAAAATGATTTTTAATGTTTTTAAGCAAAGACTGGTTTAATAAAAATAATAGTAATAATTTGTTAACAGTAATAATTTGTTATACCTATTAACAACACAATTTAAAATAATTTAATATAAACATTTTTTTACGTAGTAGCAAAATATAAACAACAAATTAGATGTCAAAATTATTTATATTAGATCCTATTTAAAAATAATATAGTCTTTAAATTTTTTGGCAACGTTGGTTTATTAAATAATAATAATTACAGAACTAATTTGTTATATTAACAACAAACTTTAAAATCATGCATTATAAACATTTATTAATTTTCTAAGCATGCAGTGTAATGGAAGGAAAATATAAATAAAAAGTTAGAAATCAAAATTATTTATATTAAGTACTTTATATTACTATTTAAAAATAATATTTATTTTTACTGGCTTTTACTTTAAAAAATAAAAGAAATATTTCTTCGCAAAAAACTACATGTAAGAGAATTAGCATAAACAAAATACAAACATGGTTAACTTTTTTTTAAATTGGCACGTGTAAAACTCTCAATTTAATTTTCACACCCCATAGTTTGAGTTCGATAACCCCATTTACTTAACCACATTACTTAAATATGATTATTAAGTTCAACTAATTCATATTATTAAAACATCTAAAATACAAATATGTATTTTTAAAATTAATTCTAAGTTCATCTCATCTCTCTTAAAAATTGCTACTTCTCAAAATTTCCCATTAAAAAATAGACCATATATACCATATAAAATAAAATAATTGATCGGGCTACGGAAAATCACACAAATTTTCGGAAAAATTTTGACACCTGCACACGCACACAATCGTCAATTAAAAAAAACTACTATTTTAGTATTTTAAATATTTTAATAAACTCAAAAATAGCACAGTATTTATAAGGTGAAGTTATAAAATTTGAAGAACTAATAATGCACTGACGTACACAAAAATCAAACGAATACTAAATTTCATTTATCAAAAGCATTCGATAGTCGTGGCTCAACGATAACCATTTAGTTGCACGGCGAGGTTGTCATATATGCTTTAGTATACAAATGAATGAATGATTTTATTCGAATAAAACCATTCGATAGTTGAAATCATTCATTCAGTAACCATTCGATAGTCTAATTCATTCGATAGTTCCCATCGCTATATTCAATACTAGAATTTAAAAGACTAATAAAAATATAGGATTTTCTTTCAATGCGCAGTAGGGAACGCAACGTTGACCGGCAGCCAGACGGGCCGCATGCTGTTCTAGAGAGCACAGTAAAAGATATATCAAAGAGCCAGACGTCTTAAAATACTTGTTTTTCCGACGTTGCTAGCTCTCGTACTATATGTTTCCCCGACAAAAAATGTTAATTTATTTCGTAAAAGTGACATATACACGAAAGAAAGACACGATTGGTCAGTCAATGTCAAAGACAAAGACAATCAGATAGTCAAATGTCGCTGACCTGTCTTCAACAAAAATGAACCGACCATTTTCTTATCCAAGGAGTTTATAAGATCAAAGGCAAGAACCTAACGTTAAACTTGATTGGGGTTAGTAATCTCACTTAATCCATGTAAAGTTGAATCGTTAGAGGTCACCAGTACAAATAACCTCCTTCAATCACTGTCAAAATTAGGTCTGACCTTTTTCTTACTACGTATATAGTTCTTGGGCTTCGCTTACCTCCAGATTTGGATTAATCTTGGGTTTCAACTTGGCGCTGGGCTTGTATTTGAGCATCTCCCTGCCTGCCGGAGAGACGAATAGGTTTTCCAGGTTGTTGCCCTGCAATACAAAAAAGGAAACTGATAAATTGGTGCTTAAAAAACGTTTTTTTAAAGTTAGAATACTGTTCTGGGCTTTCCAAAGTTTATTATAAGGTACATTATATTGAAAAAATACATTTAAATTTATAGACATGAATAATATATATTCTAACTAATATAATAATAATAATTTACTAAATAAACTACGAGTAATCGCAAAACATTTTCCGATGCACGTCATCAATCATATCGAAATGACTAAATGAAATTTTGGCAAAAATGCTTAAATTTGTTGTATAATTTAAGATATCGAGTAGCTCTTCATTTTACTTTATAAAGCAAATGATTGTAACAGTTTATTATGATTAAAGCTACAAACAATAGTTTAAAGCGATTTTTATTATCGCCATGTTGGTCACATCATAGGTCACATTGCGCCGCGATCAGCAAACGTTGTCATTTATTAAATGTCAGTCATTATTTTGTATAATATCGTGTTGTTTATATGTTTATATTTGTTGAATCTTTGGGAGAAATTCTTGTTTTTTTGCCGATTTTCAAAACCTTTTTAATTGTACTTTTAAGTACCAACAGTTCTTTTAAGAACTAAATTTTCGAGGTTTTGTATTGCATTTCTTGAAATTGTGTGTTGAAAGTATGCCGGAGCTTTTAAACAGTCGCAGCAAAGAGCTTGTAGCTTCCCTGATAAAATATTTTGAACGAGAACGTGACAATAAAGGTCCTTTATTATCCTTGACTGCACTCAGAGAAGTAAGTTTGATTGGTAAGCACATTATACTACTTTCAAAGTTATTTCTAAGTTAGTTTTTAGTAAATTCTGTGATTAGGTATTAGTTTCTGCATTAATGGCACCCTCTTACTTGTTATTACCACTTATGGTGTTGTAAGATGTGCGTCAATAAATAAATAAATAACCCACAATAACGCTTAGAATAATCTTCATAATGGACTAGTTTTTCCCAATATGTAATGAGTAAAATAAGCTATAAAAGAAATAAATAAATTAATTACTAAAATATTAATTATTAAATTAAAAATAAAGCGTAAAAATCTTTAAAAAATGATATAATAAATATATTGTTTTTATTATATATTTGTATATATATTTGTATGTGTATTTGTAATATATTTGTTTTCAATTTTACATTAAGGGTGTATTCCGTTGCTTACCTTGGTTATGGTTTTATGTTCCGTTTCTATCTGTTTCCTGAAAGTTTTCTTATTACGGAAAAATTCCGTTATAACTGTCACCAAACTAACCAGCGCGAAAAGGCTGTTTTTTCTGGTTTTGTTTGTCAATCAATGTCATTTATGTGACAGAAATCAAGCAAATATGGGAAGTTCGAGTGAAATTCTCATTTAATTTCTAAAATTTGTAATAATATTTTGTATTTACATCCAAAAGCAATGGAGGTAGGCAGTAAAGGTAAATACATTTCATTAACTAAATAAAATGATTTTTTAGGACCATTTAAACTTATCATGCAGCCATTGTTTCTTAAAGTCAGGAACATTTAAAGAAAACATGAAAAACAAGACAACAAGTAATCGTGAATGTTTTGTCAGCTATAAAAATATAAACATTGATTAGATTTGTTTATTTCTTATTGATCTGTTTTAATATTGGACCTGCAAATCTTCACTTGAGCTGTCTAACGAGTTTAACAGTTTATTAATAAAGTACTTTTCAATATTAACCTCCATTGAAAAGAAGAAGCAAACGTAAAAGCAGAGAATAGGTACATTAAAAATGCACAAAAGATAAATTTTATAATAGAGGTATTGAAATTTAGAAAACATCAATATTTGACGTTTCCAGTATTTTACCAAACCGTTCCGTATCAAACTGATGTTTTTCAGGAACCGCTCTTTACCGTAGTTTACCAATCTGGTTCGCCTGGTTTTGCAACGGAATACAGCCTAAGATTCATCTAATAAATCCATCACAATCGGGCAGCGCTGTCGCCATCTCTTAACACTCAAAGTTTATCACGTGCATCGGAAATTGTTTTGCGATTACTCGTATAAGTTATGTAATAGTAATTACCCTGTTAATGATATAAGGGTTCTGTAAACGCTTTGCCGGATCTCAAAAGAGCAAACTATCGGTGAACGTATTTCGCTAGACTGAAACTAAACCCTAATCAAATTTTTGTGGCTTTGGATCAAACGAGACCAGCTATGTTAAACGGTATTGAATTTATTGAACCGCTATAAGTTCAAACTTTGACGTAAAGAGAATAAGGTAGAATAAACTTTTAAATGTAGAAGATGGGGAGGAAAAATAATATCAACTTGATTAAAATTAAAGCTGTTTTCAAATCTGGATCGACTCTAAGAAGTATCCTAACAAAAACAAGACCAGTCATTAAAATCAGAGAAAGAGTGTACCAGGTACTTTGTGAATGCGGTGAGTCCAAAAAGGTGAAACAATGAAGTCAGGTATGTTTGGACCATGTTTGGTCAAAACAGCACATTATAAAATGGTCAGAAGCTCGGAATGTCCACAGGAAATGGATACTTTAGGTTTTCACTTAAACAAAATTCCCAAGTTTTTCATTCTGGGAGCTACAGATGCCCGAAGCACTTTGCCGAACCCTCTACAATAATATACAGGTTCTCTTATTTAAAAAAGTTATCCCTATTTTTTCTTACTTTTTTGAGCCTCCCTGTCGAAGTTAAAATACTTTCCCGAAATAGTATTCTTAGGTATCTTTGAAAAAGAAGACTAAGGAAGGAGCATAATGCTATCCATGTATTCATGCGTGGTGGGCGGAAAAAGCACGCTAGAGTGGGGATCCTTGACAGTTCTGTTTGACGATTCATTTGACACATTTGAATTTGATTTGAAATTTTGTGAGTCTTTACGGAACTTATTTTATGTTATTTATTATTTATTCTACTACTGATATTTGTATAAAGGTAGTAAATCTAAATGGAAATTGTGGCAGAACTTAAATTAACAGTGACACTATCGCGATTTATCGAAAAATACTCTAAAATAGTTGGTTGTGTAGCGTGCGGTAGATCTCGGCAACAATTGAGTGAAATAATGGAACTTTTCGCTAGTAAGTTACTATATAATATACATACGTGTAGTAAACCGATCATTTATGAAATTCACTTAAATTAACTAAATTATATATTTTTCTGCATTTTAGCTTTTACTTATTACTTGTAAAAAGATTAGATGTCAACGAATTTAGATACGTTAATATGACTTACCTGCTAAACAACAAATTATTGAGTCTACCCCACGTCTATCCTACATCATAGTTTTACATTTTTTAAATAAAATTAGAACGACACTGATAAACCGGAATTTAAGTCGGCCATATTTGAGGCCCATCGCGGTGTACCTAAGATTTTTGATATGCTCCTTCCTTAGTCTTCTTATTCAAAGTTAGGTATGTATTTAAAAAAAAATCAAGTTGTTTTTTATAGGGACCTACGGATAGCCGGCGCACTGTTGCAGGACTCTGAAATACCTAGTGTTTCCTAATTCAATGTCATATTTTATTCACACATAAAGTGATGCATTTAATATTGAATTAGAAGTAATTTCCGTTAGATTTATGACATATCGATTTTCCTGTAAGCCCATCGGCCAGCGGGAAAACAATAAATTATAGATGGACAATAATTTCAGTAAAATGGATTTGAAATTTTGATGTTATGATTCATAATACACTCATCGGCACTAAAAACGGGCACTTTAAAATTTTAATGTGTTTTAAATTTAATATATTTTGTTATAATTGGCCAATTTTGTGATTTTTTAAGCAATTGGTAGCTAAATTAATTGACTTTTTCGTGTCTCTTTCTAAATTAAAAATGAAAATTTCTATATGTCAATTTTACGAGGTAAAACAAAATATTGATATTTTGGGGAAAGTTTGAAACACTCTGAGTTCAAGGAATTTAAAAATGATAGGGTACGTTTTTTTTCGATAGTTTGTGTTTTGGTTCATCTCAATAGCTTTATTTTTGTTGGAGATATTCGCTTATGAAGAAAACACTAACATTTTATCGTCATTTTGACATTACAACCATGCCTTTGCTTTTGGGCCTAGTCAACAAATCTTGTAAGTTGTGGTCTCGAAGCAGGCCTTCTTGACATACGATTTTCTTTGTTTAATCTTCTTCTTACAGTCCGTTCACTTACATGTATGGTCCTTAGGTGCAATTCATTAGGTTTGTTCCAACCAGCATTTCGGGATCGTTTCGAAATCGTACCCGAATCGGTTTTCTTCCACTTTGTTAGCATGCGCGGACTTCGAATAGTTTCGTGACGGTGCATAAAGTATCAACGTTGGAACGCATTGTGGATTGTTTTCGGGACTGTCAAAAGTGTTAAGCGTGCGTGTATCGATCGGTTTTTTGTTTTTGTTTAGAATTTCATAACATAACCCTATTATTTTTGTTTGCAATTTGCAATAATAATAATGATTATTCTTGAAATGGAGAATCAGCATCCAGTAATTGTTGGTAAGTGTTGTTTCAACTGTATACTCACTAACTCACTTACCTATCCTCTCTTTTATGATCCGGTTATGCCTTTGAATAAGAAGACTAAGGAAGGAGCATAATGCTATCCATGTATTCATGCATGGTGGGCGGAAAAAGTACTCTAGAGTGGGGATCCTTGACAGTTCTGTCTGACGATTCATTTGACACATTTGAATTTGATTTGAAATTTTATGGATTTGTCAGTCTTTACGGAGCTTATTTTATGTCATTTATTATTTATTCTACTACTGATAGTTGTATAAAGGTAGTAATCTAGATGGAAATTGTGGCAGAACTTAAATTAAGAGTGACACTATCGCGATTTATCGAAAAAGACTCTAAAATAGTTGGTTGTGTAGCGTGCGGTAGATCTCGGCAAAAATCGAGTGAAATAATGGAAACATTTTTGGCTAGTAAGTGACTATATAATATACATACGTGTAGTAAACCGATCATTTATGAAATTCACTTAAATTAACTAATTATATA